CAAGCCTAAAAACATGCCACATGGACAAATTAAATCGAGGCGATTAAGAGTCTTGCATGCAATCATGCAACAATGAACCTCATTTGACCTTTGACCTACTTATGTGACCTTCAACTCCAGAATATCATGGAGGCCAATAATGGGCATCTACCAATCAAGTATGGTTACAAACAGATGCAGGGTTGGAAAGTTAGCAACCCTAATTGATTTTTGCAGGTAAGATTTCACATTAGACTTCATTCAAATTTGTGTAGTCACGGAGGATGGACGGAAGGACGCCATTTGGATCCCTTAGTCTCTGCTCGAAAAAAAGCAGTTCTCAAGTCAGACAATCCCAAATGTTCACTACAGAGGATTACATGGATTTCTCTAATCGGCCTAGTCTCCTGGCTAGGATCACATCAACTTGTGGTGGAGGAAATGGTGCAAGCCGGGGCCTTGTGTGTCTAGGGTCATCAGGGAGCAGAACAGCCTTCGAGAACAGTGGTCCTTGGTCCTGTTCTCTGCGTTCCAGTATCGCACCGATGAGTCCTTGTACATACATGTAGGGGTAGGTCTTGGGGACCTTCTCCTTCCGGGCCACGTAGTTGTTGGCACGCTTTGACCATACTGCAACATATCTGTATCATAAAATAAAAGAACATGCAAAATGTAACAAGTTGCATTATATGCACACTCATTCTTGTCAATTGGAAATGATTCATATCTCTTGAAGATAAACTTGAGTTCTGGTAAAAAAAGAAAATGAATTCTCACAGAATCTAACGAAACTTACACTGAATGTTCAAGATTACAAATAAATGTCATGTGCCAAACAATTTTGGAAGAAAATGTATACTGGCTGAGCAATGAGCATAGAAAGATAAGGAAATCAGGGTAGTACTAGCCCCGACAGGCCGACACCATGTGTGTTGTCCCATATACATCTTTCTGTGTAAGTGATTGTTACTTTACCAAAACTCTGCCAAATTTATGATGATTTTGATGACTCCAGAACCTTGCATTACACACCAAGTATATTATTACACTGAATCCAAGTCCGCATTTAGGGTCCAAAATCAGCAGCATGATTGACAAACCATCAGCTTACAGTCCGTCATCTACATAATTTAGATGTGCGTCGTGTACAGGGACAACTTCTTTAGATGACGTCATATTTTGGCGATTTAAAAGGGGCGTTCCCAGGAAGGACAATTAGATATTTAATAATTTCCCCAAAATTGATAAATTTCATGGGAAAGAACTGCCAATTCGGATTGCCCTGTCCAACTACACAGGGAAAACAAAAAATCATGTTTTTTTTTTTTACTCCACCCACTTTGGATTGCCTTGTCCATCTAAAAAAAAATGTACAAATAAAAATAGGAAAAACAAGAAAGAAAAGAAAACCTTTTTTTCTTTCTTTCTAATTTCCACTCACTTTGTATTGCCTTGTTCATCAATCTGGTCGGGCCTGTCCTTGTGTGCCATGTAGTCGATGACCGCAAGCAAATTCCTTGCCCGGTTTGCTGGGTAGCTGGATGGATAAGACAAACAATTGGTATTACCACTACCATGATGAACGAATAGTAAATGCTTTAGACAAATCTCAGACTCATTGGCCCGTAGTCACAAAGGAGGTTTGTACAAACCATGGTTTGACGATGGTTTACATCTATGGAATGCTGCTCGCATACCGAAAATTGTAAATTAACATTGTTAACAAGTATGGAGTTTACATTCCTTCTCCATCAGTTTACAAATGGCATTCCATAGATGTAAACCTTGGCCAAACCATGGTTTGTACAAACCTCCTTTGTGAATACGAGCCATTCACTTCAGTTCTGGATTTGTGTTGTAAATTATCGACTCTTAATTAAAGGTAGTTACATTTCCCTGCTACAACCACTCCAACTTGACTTAACATCAGGTACCGACACAAGTACGATACAAAGTCTGCTGTTTCAAGACTCTGCATGCATCCAAAAGTGATTTCAGCATTTATATAGATGTCATTCATAATTTCTCATTAACTTTGCTATTTGCTTCAAAATATGATATTGTAACTGTAACCGTACTGTAATGATATGTTTCAACTTTTCCACAGACAATCTTACTTCAAACATACAAAATGATACTAAAAATACTTACTCAAAGGAATACCGCTTGGAAGCATACATCAGTATATGGTTGTGGAAACACTCGAGCATGCTGGTGTGCCTAAGGAATTATGAAAACAAAATAAAAACTGATATAAATGATAGGGCATTTCATTATTTTCATACCACAAAATCAATATTGAAAATCCCATGTCATACACATGAGCAAATAAGATGCATTATCTTGACCTGCTGATATGTCCCAATTTTATAGGTCATAACCGAAAAAGAGCTCAATCTTGCAAACATGTACGTAATGAACGCATTCTCATTAAATTCCTCTCAATTTACAGAGCCTTTCGTACATGTATACAGAATCCTACCTGAAGCGAGCAAATCAGCAGAGTAGGCCAAGTTCTCCATGAATTTGCGGTCAAAGGTGACTTGTACTATTCACCTGCTAATTCCCCTACTGCTGCTTGGAATTTCTTCGCTGGGGATGGATTGTGTTGTCGGTTCTTCATATCTGTAAAAAGTGAAGAAATGAAAGTCATTCACAAAGTAAAAAACATTCAGATTTTAAATCACCAAAAGAAATTATTTTGAAGATGGCATTCTCTAATAATTATCACAGCTAGCCAGATTTGGAATTTGCATGACTAATAACTGATGCATTGGTTCTCTGTCATGTATGTGAAGTTGAGACACTCTTTGGTAGAGATAAATATAGATGAGACAGTCACATCTCAAGCAAGCTATAGTATAACCTTGTCGACTTTTAAAAAGAGCAGGATGTTTACCCGGTTGACTAGCCCTGCACGTCATCATTACAAAGAAAACTGCAGTTGTAACGAGGGACATTAAAGGTAGGGTCTATTACAAAGTTTTGGGAAATTTTGAAAATTGGGTGGATAGTGATTCTTTACAATTTTGATATATTTGGATGCCCCTGTGGAAGTATTATAAGCACTAGAAAATTTAGCTCCTAAAACACTTCTGCTTTCGAAAAAAATTGAATATAAAAATTTACCGGTGCTCCCGGTAAATTTTGATAAATTTAAAATAGCGCCTACGGTCGTACAACGGTAGCTGCTACCATAAAAATCCTGGAATATGTAGTTGTGATATATAATTTCAAAAAGGTAATAGCCAATCGGTCAATTGTAGCTTGTTGTATAGCTGAATTAATATATTGACCTTGAGAGAGAGTTATAGTATACCCCATAAAGAGATTATTATTTACAATTTCATCACTTTAGACTCGATTTCAACGCGACAACGTTCACTGAATATTGTAGGATCGCATATGCTTCCAATATTTTCATTTGAACCAAATTCATCCGGAGGTCTAGAAGTCTAGAGGAGCCAGACGTAGTCTCAGTGGAACAACCGACGATATAGAGACTGAAGCTTTCGGTCTACTGTAGACCTAGAATCTAGGCTAGACTATCAATATCATATGATTCATGAAATCTGAATTAAAAATCCAAGGCAAGAGATAACAAAACGTAATTTCTTAAATTTGCCGATTCCATGCATCTAGTCTCTAGACTAGATCAAATTAAAACGGTAGGCCTACCCAATGCAGTGGGGCGTATATCATTTCAACTTACCTCTCAGTGAGCTGGCATAGCCATAGGGTCTATTGCATCCTCTAGACTCGGCAACGAGAAGGCCGCCTGCAGCTCGCGAAGTTTCTCCGCCGTACCCTGGCCCTGGCCTTGTTCACAGCCACTCCCGCGCCTCCTCTGGGCCGGATGGTCGAGCTGCCATTGCTTGTTTCTCTCCTTCCTCTTAGTCTTACCGTCTTACTTAGTCTTATTCTGATTTAGCGTAGCCTTAGCCTTGTCCTTAGGCTTAGCACTAGCTGAGTCCGAGTCGGCCATCGTCCGTGACCTCGAGCTCCTTTTCCAATCTCGATCTCGTTAGCGTATTTCAATCAAAGCTTGGCTGTAGCTGTCTAGCTTTCGATCGGCGCCGGTGATAATCTGATCTGAGCTGTGTGTGTTATACTTTACGTGAAAGCAGCGTATTGGAATACACCAGTTTACAGTTGTGTGCGCCATTTTAAACAAAGCCAATGACCTAGAGGTCATGTATTTATGCGTAAATTAAGATTGCGCCCATGCAAATTATGATGATATCAATGCCTGCGCGCTGCGTTGTGCGCGCATATCATCATTTGCATGGGCGCAATCTTAATTTACGCATAAATACCAGAGGTCAGAGGTTATTGGCCCCAATTTTGGGGCCAATAACCTCTGACCTCTGTCTGCTCATGCGCACTGATACAACTGTAAACTGGTGTATTGATCAGCTGTACTGTATTACTAGCGCGCGGTCGGATACCCGCCTGCTAGCTACCTGTACTGTACGTACCAACAAACTCAAACACTCGTTGTAAATACGCTGGTTGTTAAATGACATAGAGGGAGCTAAACACGTAAATTCAAAAAATAAACCGTCGAAAGTCAAAAGTGATGTCCGGACGTCAAACACTTTTATATAATGTTTTGAAAGCAAATTGCACAACAATTAGAGCATTTGATTTGGAATTATTATCATCTCCCATGTTTTTTTCGATGATCTTTCATATGGTACTGAAATAAACCAAATCTGTTTTGGAGGGGCACTTTGGAAATTACCAATACTCAACTACTCAGGCGAAAAAGGGGGTTCTGCGGCACTCCTGGCACCCCTGGCTCCCAATTCTATAAGCTATGTATAACGCATATGCTTGATAAGATCTTATTTTGCCTCATGAGTAAGTAATTTCATGTATTATGGCATTGTAACCCCCTCCCCCTCCACCCCACCCCCAATATAATTAAGCCCGCCCATGCTTCTCCTATAGATCCACGCAACGTCGTTCAAAGCGTACAGGACACAATGATATACAATACAGTACAGGTATTAGTGAATTAACCAGTGAACCAATACAGCTCGAGAATAGAGGTCCGATCCGGAACAGTCTTGAACCAGGAACGGGCACAAGGGGAAAACCCACCGACGTACGTACAGGAATAAAACAGGGACGTCACATTGACCCGAGTACAAGATCAAATTCTATTCGATTTGAATGTCAGTTGGATAACGAGACTGCGGTGCATATTTTCATTTACAATTAATATATTCAGTTGAGGATTCTGACGCGGATTGTAATTGCAACAGGAATACTATAGTGCAGGTAGGTTACTTTACGATCGTGCGACTATATTAGCTTCATGAGGTATGCATTACAGGTGACACTGACATATTAACCTTGCATTTATGAAGAGGCAATAGTTCATTGGCTTTATGTAGCAGCCTACTTGAATATAGACTTACATAAGTGTGTATAGTATACTGTAAGTCAGTAACTGCATATCATACACACTTATCATACACTCATCGATCGAAAGTGAAACACTGATAGAGTGAGTGTGTTATTGTATCTATGTAAAATATGGGTGCGTAAGGTGTGTGGGTGTGCGTGTGTGTGCGAGAGTGTGATGAATGATGATGACTTTTCGCTCAATTAAGTAAGAATTGACTACTTGTCAGTCGCTGGTCGATAATTAAGTCACCTGCAGGCTGCCTCAGGTGGTAATGAAATTCAATATAACATGTATAATGTAATACACTAAGTGGCAACCACTATCGCGGAACCCTTTTGAAGTCTGAGTTAATTACGGTAGATGCTCATGAGTTCTCTTGTTCGTTTTACGTCAGTTTGGGAGAAAGTCAGAATATGAATGTCTCCTGAAAAATCTGCTCTTCAAATGCCCTCATATTCAAAATAAAACAAGAAATATCAGTAGTGTTTGGACTTGACAATCACGCCACAGGTGTATGTAGTCCAATACTACCGATTTCTGTATGCTTTTCATCTACATGTAGTATAAATAAGTCTCTTATCAATTTGATGATTCCAAAACCTCACATTATAAGCCAATTCCTATATCTACTACAAAATCAACTTGTCAAAGTTGCATCCAGACAATTTCTGACAACCGTGTTGCATGACCAGAACTGATCTATATTAAAGTCACAATCAATTCTCTCTAGTTCCATTTTCTATGGAACAAGTTATACGTTAGAGCTCATTATAAGATTATCGTCGCTAGCAGTATCGTTCACCTTCTACATAATTACTTCATACGTTCCGTGGTAGGGCAAAGAGCTATCCTAATTTCGGGTATTCAAGAGCAGAAGCCAGGTCATCAAGGGTGGTTGACTTTGGATAATAGTTTGAGAGAAAACGAGGCCATATAATTACGAATTAAGCGGATTAATTCACTTATGTATACGTTGTTTGGGTAATGTAGTAAAGTGTGTATAAAGCAGGAACTGATTTCACTGTAAGCCCCCCCCCCCCAACCTTCCTCATTCTCTCAGTATTTATATTCAATTTAGTTCACTTTGGTTCCGTTTGTTTCATATTTCACGCTATACATTGTCAGTTTTGTTAACAAGAATTAAACTGATAATATCTACAGACTTGGGATATCGTGTCATGGACTTTTTTCCTTTTTTTTCTTTTCGTTTACCTCGACAGATCCATATCTTACCTTCTGAATCCCCCTTTCCCTCCAAAACACATCTTCAGACCAGGCATGTACCCCCCCCCCCCCCCCGCCCCTTCTGAACCCCTCCCTCTCTGTAACTCCTGTATATACAGTGTAAGGCCATATTTTCTATTCCTTCTTTCCGCAGCAAATCCCCCAAACTCATCTGCTTAATCCCCGGCTCACAGTTTCCTGTTCACGACAGGCCGACTTAGCGCATCCTGATTACTCATAATTAGTCATTACTAATTTTCAGCTATTAGTACAAGAGGGAAACGTAGCGCGAAAGTTATTGAGAATCGAAAGTGGAGGGATATTGAATAACGCAGACACGAGTAATTACTATTAAACAAAACAAGTACTGCAAGGGGTGCATCGAATAGATAATGTTATATTGCTTTGTACATGCTAGCTTTCGTTCAAATATTACTTTCACCCCTTGATAATTGATGTATGGAGAGGTCTTTTCCTTCGCGTCCATTTTCTTTGAAGTGCTTGAAGTCTAATCTGTAAAATATCCATTTAGAAAAACTTGAATTAATTTTTATTATATGCAGACGAGTTCATAAATGGCAACAATGGCCAAAATGTGTCGCCATTGTTGGTATATTCTCGAGCTTCACTCGTCCATATTTACTTACAAATAACTTACAAATATTTTGTAGCTTCGTGTGTTCCCTTTAAGAGTATGCCTACCATTGCTAATATAATATAATTCATTTATTGGAGCTCGCTTATTAGCTGAGGAGTTCTGTACACCATAAATATTCAGGCAAACAATAACTCCACTGCAGTGTAATATTAAATTCATGTATATATTGTACTTTGTACCTTGGACCAGGGCGTTGTAAAGTAATTCACAACTCCCTGCTTGTACGTTGTGCATTTGTTGATCGCCTTGAGAGCGTTACTGGGAACTATAATCTGCCAAAAGGTGAACGAGAGTGGGTGTCCTATTGATTCTTATTTAGTTACGTCTATATGCTTCAATTTTCATTCAGTTTACGTGTTGAATGGAAACCTTGAACTTCTTGCCCTTGGTTTGTGTAGTAGCGATAAAGTGCTCTGGGACCTGGGTAACTTCCGGCCGATTAATCAAGACTGGACAAGGGTTTCATTGGAGCATTAAATGTTTGTCGTGGACGGGGTATATACTTCACTGCATTCAACGTACTTTTTGGGTACAAACAGCATGCTGAATCGCTTATTAGCTCCTTTTTATCAATATAGTGTGGAAGGAAAATATCACTGTGATTGAAGTATTCTTGATATACTATATAACATTCGGATAAGAAAGTCAGTTATCCTTCGGGGTATTAAATCGCTTTATACAGATCTTGCTACCCATCATTGGACTTATAGAATGTTTTAATTGTTTAAATTGGCCCCCTCGTTGGCGAATTCTAGGTGAAGACTTGTGGGGGGGGGGGTCTTCAGATTTACTGTTGTTATTACACTATAAGTGTGTGTATTATAATTATCATTTTGATTTTTTTTTTCTTCTCGGAATTGTTGATAGCTGATGTTAGTTAATTGTCAATAGGGATAGTAGTAGTGGCGGTTGTGGTGGTGGTGGAAGTGATGGTAGGTGTGGTGGAAGTACAAATAGTATATGTAGTAGATTAGAGTAAAACTGATAGAATTACAAGTTGCAATACGATCGGTTGAAAGTTGTCAATTAACAGATGGACACGTGAAAATGCTACATCTGTTTACGTTGGCATATCAACATTCATTTTGCCTTAATGAATTATTGAAGGGCCTACGATTTGTTTTAAATAAAAGACTTTAAACAAAAATGGCTGATATCTGTCGAGCGAAATTATCCAAAACGAATTCAAATATTCAACATTACATATATCATATCTATTTTATAGGTACAGTAGCTGACGAGATGGATGGATCTAAACTACAAGGTCTGTTATGTCCTATGTGTTTTGACATCCTCACAACAGCGACAACTCTTAAATGTGGGCATTTTTTCTGTAACAGCTGTATAGATGCGAACAGCGAGCAGAAGGATGATGGCGGACCTGTATGCCTTTTATGCAGAGAAGAGAACCTCACATCAGGGTCAACGGGGAGTGGACAAATGGTACGTTTGCTCTTAATTAGTAATAGACCTGGGGTGTTTCATAAAGATCCTAAGTTGAACTTATCTCTAAGTTGGACAATTATTGAAAGCCGTTAGCATCTTTGAAAATGTTTTGTAAAAGTTATTTTAAAACGAAGGCATAAAATGTTGATTCAAATCATTCATATTTGTTATTATCAAGGAGATTTCATGTTCTTGATGTCGAATTTATGAAAAGTCTAAAATACTTGAATTTTGGCTTCTGAATATATTTCATTTTGATGGCTCTCCATAATTTTTAAGTCCAACTTAGAGTTAAGTTCGACTTAGGATCTTAGTGAAACACCCCGGTTTCCTAACATTTCACACTCATGGATGTTTCTTTACTGGAGACCTAGTAACGAGTCATTCCATTAACCTGTTATTAATAAATGAACTACAATACTTGGAATCTAGTCTGCATACAATACTTGTTGCCATGTCAGGCAAGCATCGGGCAAGCTTTCGGGTTGTCAAGAAGAACCTTTGTTTTAATAAAGTAAGCATAACATTTGAATAATTTGTTAACCGGTTTATTTTGGAGCGTTCCTCTTCGGTAAATGCTTAATTTGATACATTAAATAAGAAAATGGTATATCCAGGGAGGACCTACTTCCATCCTCTTGCTCTCATCCAAGCTCAGTCAGTACGTCTGTTTGGAGCCAGAAGGGCATTGTAGGGCAAGTCCGGTCCATTTAAAAGTTGAATTGAATTAAGTAGAGACAAAATAAACGAACAAAATAGCGAGAGAGAGAGAGTTTCATCAAAATGGGATAAAAAATAAGAAAGGTATTAAAATTTGAAAGTTTTGAATAATTATAATGAAACATTTCTATATATCACATAGGCTGTACGAAAGTTACCGAGTTGACTGTGATGTCATCCCCTCACTTTTCTCTATCCTTTAATAACTTAATAAATGTTCTGTTCTGGGAATGTAAAACATGGTTTGAATCCTCATTAAATATATGTACAAAATCACAATTACTGTTACTGTCTTATTGTAATATAAAGGGAACATGTTATACAGGTGAGAGGTTTGTTCTGATGACAAAGTTACTTAGAGTCCGCCGAAGCCAGAGAAACAAAATTATAATTCCTTCAGGATAATGTTATTAACGAAAATGCAGCATACACTTGGACAACTAAATAATAGTACAATGTATTGATTAATATAGATACATTTTATACAAGTCATAACAATAGCTTGTTACTAATTTGTCTTAGTATCTCTCTATTCTAAAAATGAAGCAATTCCTTTTTTTTTTCAATTGCAATTCCAAGTGCATAATTTCTTCATCAATCAATTGCAGAAATCAAGCGAGAAAGAGTCTGCGGCAGGACAGAGCGGCGCAGATGATCTTCTAGGAATGGATAACCTTAACCTGGGGAAGGAGGCAGCAACAAGTGCAGATAAACAAAACGCAAAGGCCTCTGCAGCTGATGGTGTGAAGAAGACAGGAGACCAACCGGAAGCAGCTAGTTCGAAATCCGCTATTCCTGGAGATGTCGGAGACAATGCTGCAAAGGTCGTCACGGTTGTCCAAATACCACGTCGATCGTGTAACGTGAATGGAATGGCAGCTCAGTCCAAGGATTCCGTGGTGGTAGGATTCGGGTGGGATGGGAAAGGGTCCGACTGCTTTTCGGTGTCCGGTGATAAAACCCAACACTTAAAGGCTGCAGTGGGTAACGTCTGTGACATTACGTTTCTCTCTGATGGTAAATCGGTTGTGTCTCTCGGTAATAATACAGGACGTGTGTACGACTTGGACGGTACACAAACAGACACGAAATACACGTTTATCCAGGGGTTGGGACATGCGTGCTTATGCACTGACCAGCAAGATAACGTCTATGTCGTCAACGGGAATCCTTCGATCTACATCTTCAAAGGCAACACCAAGGATCCACATACCGTTGTCCCAACCGGGGAGATCCTACCGTTACAGGTCTGTGTCACCAAGACCGGCGTGATGATCACATCCACCTGTAACTTTACACGCGGCCGGATCACGGTCTACGACAAGACAGGTAGTGCTGGTAGCTCCATTGTTGCAGCAGGTTCCGACAACGACGAGGACAATGAAGATGGCGAATGCCTCTACGCTGCAGTGGACGACCAGGATAGGGTGTTGATAGCGAGGGTAAGGCGTTGGTCCAGTGTGGTTTCGCTGACCAGGTACTCTCTTGAGGGTACGAAGCTCGTTGAGGAAGTGGCCTTTGGCGATGTCACCATCCCACATCAGATTGATATGGCTTGTTGGTGTTATATCGTCACTGTAACACCCAAGATGGTTGTCTTTGCCAACGATTGCTTCTTGTCTTTCATAGAGCTTCCAGAGTAGGCTTTAATGTCTTTCACCCTCGCCCACAGTTGGAAAGTTTTTCAGTGGTCGAGCCATCTTTAAAATGGAATTTATTACAAGCAGGGCCCTTGAAAGAGAGGGCTCGACCAATATCCCGATTAGATTGCCGCCAAAAACGGATTATTTTCCAATGTGCATTTTATACCTTCTTATACCACCGATTACATGAATAATACTGTAACAGTCAGTCTTTCATTTTTGTAGTCTCTAACCATTATTTGTTATTATAAAAACATAATCGATGTTTCTTCCAATGTTGTACATGTATCTTATGATGGAAATCACTTGACATTTATATTGATCTGATCAAAATGCAAACAAGTATTACAAATCAGATATCTGCATCTAATGGACAGGTTTTTATGACTCACATTTCTTTGAATTGGGCTACCAAATCAACATTCTATGTAAGTGATTAAATGTTTGTGTGATGTGAAAAATGGTAATTAAAGAAATTAAAGACGTGTGTTTTAGCAACAGAGGATTATAGTCTTTATAATCATATTACTTTTGATACAAATTCTCTTCGAAAGGACAAATTTCACTTCAACATTGCACTGTTCTTTCAGCACATAGAACAGTCAGTACATATTAATATTTGCATTTTAAAAATATCCTTTATATTGTCCACATCTCTTACATCACGGACTTTTAACTTGTTTTTAACTGGAATAACCCATTGAGAATCTGGTGCATGACACATCTGACACGTCAACAAAATAATTGCCTTTGGCATCGAAACTGTCACAGGTAATTACTGACATTGGCGTGTTAAGAGGCCAATTTTCTAATAAGGTTATTTTTAATCTTCATTTACATTATGATCTTGATGCTGTCTAGTCTGTGCTCATTATCGTTAAACGATAATCCAAGAAACTTACATGTGTTCTGGATTCAGTTCTAGGTTGTACTTCGTAAACCATAGTAACCTTAAGAGGTCTGTCAGTATGCATCATAATAAGCTAAAAAAACAACACGCAGTTTCTTCTTTTACAACTCCGGTTTTCGTCTATAGTTTTGTTTATTTCAACCTTCTATGTTATGTCTTTCAAGTTTATTTATTTGCATGCACGTCTGTAATATATACAATATACTACTTTCAGAGACCATTAGAAAGTATAATTTAATGATAATGAAGATGGACGATTGTGTGAAATTATATAATTACGTTCGTAGGACATGTCGTTCAATTCCATGTATATACATGTATATCCTTCGATATGTGAACATACAATGTAAATACACATGTTTATTATGAATCACGTATATAGTACATTATTTGAATAGGACGAATTAAATAAATCACACTGAACTAACAAGATGTACGCGTTCGTAGTGTTACCATTCTTTGTCAGCATGATCACGTAAAACATCACTGTTTTATATTTTATAAATTTTGGTGAGATTTTCGTTTGAGATAAATGACTAGATAAGTTTTTTTAAACAAATCTAGTCCAGCCTCCACACTGCTTTCAGTCTGACGTCACAATGCCTGAACGCCGTCACATTTAGAAGTCTTCATTAAAGGCATGCGCAGACAGAGATACTGTCAGTCAATTCCACTCCTGACACTATTTTTGAAGATTCTGTCATTTCCAGGGGCGTGTTTCACAAAGATCCTGAGTTAAACTTATCTCTAAGTTGGACTTATCAATTATGGAAAGCCGTTAGCATCTATGAAAATATTTTGTAAAAGTCATTTTAAAAGGGATAATATGTTGAGTCAAATCATTCATATCTTGTATTATCAAGGAGATTTCATGTTCTTGATGTGGAATTTATAAAAAGTCTAAAATACTTGAATTTTCGCTTTGGAATATATTTTATTTTAAGACTACAAAAGGCAGTCCATAATGTTTGAGCCCAACTTAGAGTTAAGTTCGACCTAGGATCTTTGTAAAACACCCCAGGTGCCTTTGGTGTCTAAATTGGCCACCGGGGCACACGTGGGGTTGGGTGAGCGCACTAACTTTGTTATATTCAAAGTCTAAAGGAATCCACAATTTTCGATTATTTTTAATACACGAGTACATACCTCCCAAAACATGTATACATATATCGAAATAGGTAACAAAGTTATCAGTAAAAATGCATCAATTATGCAAATGATCATTATGTCATTTCAAAATGAGAAGCAAAATACCAATTATTGAAATTTCCTCAAATATACGAATGATCAATATACAATTACAAAAGGAGAAAGAAATACACAGTTAGAGATGGACCAGATTTAATGTGCCGGGATGGGCGAGGGCATGTTCCTCATATTGGGTCCGTCAGTGAACCATACGATATATTGAGACTCAATTATGTCAAATGCAATGAACAATAATGCACGCTGCCATTTACAAGATAATTGTTGGACGAATGCAGAAGTAAAAAACGACTCTATACGACGATTAAGAAAAAGAACAATTATTATTGCTCATGAAACAATATACAGATAAGTAGGACAGACACTGTCATACGAAACTCTATTCACTGCTATAATAGCAGTGATAGATTGTAACCGCATAATGTCATCAAAACCATCCAATAACCATTTGGTAAATTTTGTTGTTGCTATAAGCTCACAATTTAACTGATCTTCTTCTCGTTGTCCACTTCCATCTAACCGCTCTCTCGGCTTCGTAAAAGATACGTCTTTCGATGTTTGTAATGCATCTCAAGCATGTCTAAATCTCATTTGCCGCATTGTTTGACCGCTGATTTGAGCAGTCAGCTTCCTAAATCAGTCTGGATGCCCGATTTCACGATGAGAAAAGGCTTCGATGGTAGATACAATATCTATATTATAGTCTTCAATATGAAATATGGTCAAACGAGAGGAAGCGGTAAGAAAATCAAGGTGCCTTGTCAATATAGAAGTCTCCGATATCACTTCTTGAAAACAGATTTCCATATAACGTGATACAAAGCAAAACATATCACTATAACAAAATAAGCACGAGTTTTATTATTTCTGTGAAATATAATTTCCCTGACACGCATTAGTTATCCATTTTGTTTTGAAGTTTTCAAAAAAGCTCAAGAGATATTCACTCTCAGTCCTTTTAACAAAGTGATAACATTAATGACTGTGTATTTTTTTCCGTTTCATATGGTTAAGCAAAACGCTAATAGTAAAATCGTATCTGTCAGGTTTGGATCCTTTGATTGATGGTGTGTATGTAGAGGTGTCGTGGACGAGTGGATATGTCACTGGACTGTGGATCACAAGGTTCGCGGTTCAAGTCCCACCGCGGCACTAATGTCCTTTGGCAAGACATTGATCTACATTTGCCGCTCTCCACCCAGGTGTAAATGGGTACCCGGTAGGATGCGAAAGCTAATGTGGTTAGATTAGCACGTGTGCGCTTGTAAAAAAAGACGCCTGGCTAGAATGCTCCCCAGGGAGTGGAGAATGTGCATACATTGTGTGCGGGTAAGCCTGAATCCTATGACCGGGGTTATAATATATATATATATATATATATATCTGTAAAAGCGCTTTGAGAGGGCCTTCGGTCCTGAAAAGCGCTATATAAGAACTAGCTATTATTATTATTATTATTATTATTATCTATAAAAATTCTAAATATATTCGGAGGTGTTTCGTTTTTGTATTTGTTAGAAATATTCTGCGTGTTTAGTTTTTTTTCAATTGCATGGACAATCGAAAGTACTGAACATACATCAACCATATGCGAATTACTTTCATTCCGTATTCTTATTAGAACATCATTTATCAAAGCTTCTTCTAAACCACCTTTTATCGGGGCGGGGTGTTTAAATGAAGGAAAAGTGTGCTTTATATGCATTATGAGTGGTAATATACTCTATCTTGCAAATGCATACAAGTCTGACAAATGAGACATTGGCATATAAAATGGAAGTGAATGTACTCTGTTGCCCATTAGTTTGGAGAGAAAAAAATATTACCTGTTTTCATTTCATGACTGTAACTACATGATTTATTCTTGGTAGATTAAGTTCTGAGGAGATATAAACTTCATTTATCATTAATAGCCCACATTATCAAGATTATTTTGTGAAAAGTATTAAGAAAACAGTCATTTCAACTTTATTTGCATTAGTGTACTAAGCACTGCTGATCAAGTTCTCAATCAGTCAAATCCCGAGATCGTATTAGCTATACGTCATGTAAATATTGTGTAAGTGTTTCTTTTCGTATTGCCATAATTTTTCGAAGGACCTTTTACTGCTACAAGGATGGTGGGGTGGGTAGATAAGGGATGCACATGAATAATTTGGTGAGATATAACATTTATAATGACGTTTAACGTACCTGTTGCCATGGGAACGAAATAAATCAGAAATTCACTGTGGAATATAACCAACATCCCCTGGTGCGACTCTTAGAATAAAATGGAAAGGGAAAAACATTCGAATAAGAACAGAAAATGATTTTTTTTTTATTGAAGTCCCATGGCCGTGTCAATCGTATAATCTTTTCACGCTCGACAATGGAACGACGAAAACAAGGACTCACTTGGCATGGTGAGCATGTCTCTAAATGGCAGCTTTTTACAACAACATAAAAGAATTAAATCTGATGACACTAATTGCATTTCCCCACTGGCATTTCGTCTACATTTCGAATAAAGGGATCAAATGAAAAAAATCCCTCCGTTAGCGCACGCCGTGCATCGACTTTTAACCTGCTTACAGCAACAACAAAAACCACGCACAATGAAAGTTTGATTTATGTTTCTAAAGCTCTTGATAACTAATTCAAGATTCTACATTCAGGATACGTACGATCTGTAATTTACATTTGCATAATTACATGATGATTGTTTCTACCTTTATAATTTAGTCTCGTGAAAATAATAACAATATTAAGGAAATTTCATTAAAAATTTAGAACCCGGATGAGAGAATTCGGTTTATTCAGTGGGGTAATGAGATATCTTTAAAGGTCATCATATATCATTTCTGTTACAATCAAAATTATTATTATTCATCTTTAGAGTGTTTTCACTATTCATGACATATAATAAAAGAAGCTCAACAAAAGAGCCCCCACATGTACTGTCGGATAATCTTCCTTCTCTTCGTTGCCCCCACCCCCTCTCTCCCCCCTTTCTCTCTATTTTTATATATCGTTCTCTCTTGCTCTCTTTCTCTCTTTTGCTCTCCCTCTCTATCTTTTTCTTTCTCTCTCTTGCTCTCTCTCTTTCTCTCCATTGTCTATACTTTTTAAAAACTGATTTCCCTTAAAACCAGTAAATGTTTCGCACCTTTTTGCATTGCGTCGCCTGGCTGGCAGGGCGTTAGCTCGAACTTCAGGTAAAAAATGAAGCGTTAAGCAGAAGGGCGTTAGCAGTTAGCACTAAATCACCCCATGCTTTTATAAACTGACTTAATTCCACACAAACAAATTGTGGCCGTGTTCTACTATAACATTTCTATTAGTCTTTTAAGTTTGAAATCAATTTTCGGGACAGAAAGAAGTTTAAATATGAAACGAATCTTGAAATGTGAATAATTCGAAAAGTAGTTTAATAAGAGTCGCTCGCGCTAACGCCCTTCTGCCAGCCGGCCGACAAATTATACAAAGTCCATAAACCAATCAAATCTTTACTTCTTCAGTTGCAAAGAGAGGAATGTATAGGCCTAGTTTACGATTATGATAAAAAAGAATCGCTCATATGTATTTTTTAACAAACTCATCTGTATTTAAAGACATATTCTTTTTTGCCTCTAAGCTAAATCACTTTCTTAATGACACAAACAAGTTGATTTCCTTCACCTTAAATCCGACATCTATTATTCTCAGCTGTATGTTTTCTTACAAGAGTTTCTTGAATGTGGGTGATAGGTCTCGGTAACCTAACAGAGTTGCTTTGATGGGCAAGCACACAGCAAAACAACAACAACAACAACAACGAATCGAAAACATACAATCATGCAACAAAAAAAACCCGTGGGTGCCGTGCCTCGCTGAAAATGAGTCGGTATATCAGGTGTTTTTTTGTATTTATACATATGGATAGTTAATAAAAAAGAAAGACAGAAAACGAAAAAAAGAAAAGAAAATGGGAATGGGCGAGGAAGCGAGCCGATGATGGTTAAGAGAGAGAGAGAGAGAGAGAGAGTGTCGGGAAGAACATTGGATTGAAGGATCGAGCCCATCTCTTACTTAAAAAGATCTATAAGTACTTGTCAGAACTATAACCACGAAAGAAATATTCAACTTAGATTGGTTTATATAATATATCAGACATGCACTCGTAAATATACCGGACATTAAAGCACCCGACATCATGGTATTAATGCATCTTACCTACTCTGCGCAATTTTTATGCCAACA